TTGTTATCAGTCTTTTATACAGTTGCTATGCAAAGGTACCACAAAAATAAATTCATTATCAAGAAAAATAAAAAAGCTATAAATTATCAAATTCAAGATAAAAAGCTTGTTGCCGATTCTCATTTTTATTAATACTCGAAATTCGAAATAATTTATTAATATCTAAAAAAATAAGTACTTTTTTTGGAAAAAATATTAATTATACTGTAAATACAATGAAAACAATACAAAACACGTGAGACTTAAGACGAGTATTTCGAAATGAACATTGAAATGCGATAAGACAAGATGTTTTTACACTGATTCGTTCATGTCAACTAATGTATCTACACTGGACACACTGACATTTAAAAATATATGAATAAAACACAAAATATTTATTAAAATAGCGTTATTTTTATATTTAAAAAAATTAAATCTCACCCGCCGTAGCCGTATCTCCCCAAAATCCACTGGCACATCCAATCCGTAGAGTTTTTCCACTTAAAACCGAACTTTCCCATCTCACGTCTCCTCCAAAATTTATTAACTTCCATATATTTGTCTTGTTTACAGCTCGAAAGCACCGTAACAGGGGAGTCGCCATTTCTATCCCAGGCGTCTTTACGATAAGTAGATCGCTTAGTTCTGTCACCTCGAGTCCAAAACAGCTCCTGGAGTAAATAGTTGAGTAATTCGTTGTCATCCGACAAATGCGGTCGTACGGAACAGTTGGGGATGATTAGGAAAAAGTTTCTCGTTTAAAAAGACAGAAATGGAGAACGAATTACAAGAAACAGTTTACGGGACGACGACGACGACGACCGTTGACGATAGTCATTCTGTGATGTCCGATAAAGTTCGGAATTTAGCTGGTAGCATTTACCAGGAGTTCGAAAAGATGATTTCTAAGTATGACGAAGACGTTGTCAAGGAATTAATGCCTTTGGTTGTTAGTGTTTTGGAAGAATTGGATCTGTCCTATGTAGAAAATCAGGAACATGAAGTCGAACTTGAATTACTTAGAGAAGATAACGAACAGTTGGTTACTCAATTCGAGAGAGAAAAACAACTCAGAAAAACTTCCGATCAGGTAAACAAATCATTACATATGAATCATATACAATTTATAATGTCTGTGCGGCTCTCATTACCGTCGACTTCGTTGTTTTCAATTTTACTTATTGAAAACTTTTATGAATAGTTTAAAATCTTTGTAATTTAATAGTGGAAATAGATGATTAACGTTATGATTCGTTTTATAATAAAAATATGTGATCAAAAGTATTAATGCAATTAAAGTTTCTATTTAATGATTATTAGTTAAATTAAAGAAATTTAAACACATTTTTAACAGTGCTATAACTTCAGAATTTTATTTAAAAAATCTTAAAGAATTTCAAAAGGTTTATTTAAGTCTTTAAATTAATTTTTTAAATGTATATGTTAGTCAAATATGTGTTTAAATTTATTTAATTTATTTAGATGTCTTTTGATGAGAGAAGGAGAGTTTAATTTTAATCACTAAAAAGAGATTTGGTAATTATTTACAATTTGTAATATGAGTTTTTTTTATTTTTTCTTATTAGTTTTTTTAAAGAGACATATTTGATACCAAAAAAAGAAAAAAACAAAATACTTTCAGAACTTCTTGATAAAGTAATATATTAATGCAGTCATTCTTGACTTATTTTAAATGATTGTAATAATCTTTTCAGTTTCATTTTCAAGTAATTAAAAATACATTCAAAATCAGTTATACCTGAAAATGTCCTATTGTATTAGGTTGAAACCGTTATTGTTTTGATTAAACATATCTCAGCAAGAAAGGTGTATCGATGGTTTATTAAATGTTTAAGCTGAGTTGGATATTTATTTATTTAACAAGATGACTGTCAAAATAATTTTTTAAAAATAATTGAGAAATTTTACATGGATTGAGATATTTAATTTCCTATGAAAAAATATTACAATAAATAGTTTTGAAAAATGATTTCATTGTTAGAATAATTCAGCATTTCCTATTTGTTTTGTTTTCTTTCATTCTCCAGTCGACACATTATCTATATATTAATTGAAAGAAGGTTTCAGTTTGTCTGACATAGTTTGACTATGTGGAACATTTGACCTATGCTACGTTCTTGGATTTATCGGCCCTTGAGACAACCGTGTTGTTCTCAGCCAACCAATGTTTACATTTGTGCATAGTTTGAATAAGTGGCTGGGGTTAAAAATATGGTTTAGATTTCAAATTGAAGCTCTTACCCTATAGATGGTGATGTAGATGTTGATGATGAAGAACATTTGAGAAAGGTGCAATGATTTGGATATGGCAAAGTAGCAAATGTATAGATCTTAAGTCTATGGGACAAAACATATCAGGGTCCCTCCTCCTGTTAACATTAGCCCAAACAATTTTTTTTGTGTTTTGCAGTTTCATTATTGTAAATACTGAGATTGATAAATGTATAGTACATTTTTGTTACTAAGACTTGTTTTTATCACCCTCTCAAGTCCCTACCCCTCAAAAACCCGAGCAACACTGGGCATATGCAGCTAGTTTATATTTATTGTTATCAGTCTTTTATACAGAGCTTTTGAAAGGGAGGGAGTTGGAGAATTTTTTCTGGGCTCAGAGGAAACTTAGAGACCCTTAGTGATTCCTGTCCCTATAAAATTAATGTTGTTTTTATTAACAGAAAATAAAATCTTTAAGACTGCTATTTATTAATAAAGAAACATTCTATGCATTTCAATTGTTCAAAACAAACAATGGCTAAAAGGCCTGCTCTATCTCCATACAAGCTCAACAACCATGCTTTTATATATGCATATAACCTATATGCTTTTAGTAAAAATTTACCAAGACATTAATGATTTTGCAAAAAGGTTCATTTAACAAGTTATTGCAAGTTTGTTGCTACAAATTGTTCATTATTATTGTGCCAAATTTATCACAAATTTAATTCAAACTTTTTATTAAAGGAAAAATATTTTAGCAAAATCTAAAAAAAAGTAATATAAATTGAATTTGCATTTGAGGAGATTTCTCAACAAGTGTAATGTCCATTACTATAAATAGAATATGTCTAGATATGCTGACTGATAACACTTGATTCACAAAATGTTGTAAGTTGTAACCACTAGCCAGCTTGACACTACATTAAAGTAAAATTTTACATTTTAAGTAACTAATGATTAAAAAATTTGTGATTCATTAAATAAAGCAATTTTATAAAATATTTCTATTCAATAATATAGAGATACATTGGAATAAAATAATTTTGCTAATGGCATTCTTGTTTGTTTTTTATTCATTGTAGTAATGAATAAAAAGCAAACAGATTACAAATTTCTGACAGAAAAACTTCAATATTGTATTGTTTATTATATTTCCTTCAATATTCTCTTCCATATGTACAGGTTTTTTACCTTTGAACTTTCTCTCTCTCTCTCTCTCTCTGTGTGTGTGTGTGTGTGTCTCCAACAATCTTATATTATTTTCAACAACTCCAACAATCTTATTATTTTCAATTTGCAGTTTTTTTTTTTTTTTTTTTCAGTTTACTCTGCTAAAGTTGGATTTTTTAAAGCTTAAAATAAAAAAATTTTTTGGCTTTAAAAAAGAATCCATAGAAACTAGTAACAGAAATGATCATTCTGCTAAAGTTATTGTTTCTTTCTATTTTCTTTACTCTCCACAAAATTAAGATTTTTATTTTGTTTTATTTCTATTTTCATATTTATTATTAGAATTTTTCCATCTTCTAACGAGGATTATGTAAGTAGATAGTGAAATCTAACAGAAAAAATTAAGCAGAAAATAAATCATATCACATAAATTTAAGCTAACATAGTCATTCACTCATTTCAGAAGAAGGGAACACTGTAAACTTAAATTCTTTAAGTACTTAAAATTTTAAAATTCTCCTAAAATATATACAATTATTCATTTATAATCAGTAAATATCATTTAAAAAAACATAATAATCTTGTTAAAATATGTAAGATTTAGTTAACTTTGTGAGGCTCCAGACTGAATTTGAAATTACGTGCTAGAATGCTAACCAGAGTTTGATGGGGCAGTTAATTTCCTTCCTTTTGAATGAAAAACAACAGAAAGTTAAACAACAATATAGCAAAATTATTTAATTAAATAATGTCTTGCAGAGATGACTAAAAATTCTCAATGTCAAAAAGGTAAACACAAAAGGCTTGAGTTACAAGAAAGGGTTTCAAAGTTCAATAAATAGTATTGAAATGGCATTAGGTTGAATGTTGATGTTGACCATCTCTCTTGAGACCTGAAAGGTCTAAAATTGTCACCTGGAGACAAGGATGGACCAGTTGGAAAGTGATGAGGGATATTGTTGATCAATTAGAATGCAGGATTGGGGAGAGAACCCTTTAATTAAAAACTCTTGTCTCAAGGACATGATGTTCTTCCCCAAGATCCAAGTCTTTTCTCTAAGATCTGTTGTTCATTCTCCAAGATCCAAGTTCCATTCCTGAAGATTTGGACCATAAAAAGTTCATCCCAGATCTGTCTTTTTCTGCCAATTTGTTGTCTTTCAGGATATGCTTCAGCCATATTAAAAATTAAGTTTCCTGTATTGTGCTTTCCCAGCAGCAACTGTAGACAAACACCTTAGCCAACCCCAAGTTCCTACCTGATTTAAAATTCCACTGGATGGAGCAAGCCCTAGGGCCATTGACTCATAAGGCATCAGTAGTTGGGGGACTTATTGTTAACTTAGACAACAACATTTGGACTCTCTTCAAACTCTCTTTAGACAAATTTTAAGAACTGAATCTTTTATAGCATACAAATAGAAAGATATTTTGTAAGCATGCTTTTATTCAATTAAATGGGTTCTCTTGTAAGTGGTAATCCTGCCTCAATATCCAAACCACATTCACATAAGATCTTCCAAACTGCTTGTTGTCCTGACATAAATTTTGGCTGTTTTTGGGCTAAATTGGCGATCTCAACTTTTTATAGATTGTTTCTTTTTTGTCTATCTAATTTAGCTCTCAAAGAGGTCACATAATGCTCAACACACAGTCAAAATAGAGGCCATCTCCTTATAATTAATCTCCTACCCCTTTTGAAGGCCTTGAATACTTCAGTCTATTTGATACTTGAGACAGGCTGTTGTCAGAATGGTGTAGGATATGTGTCTTATCAAATTCAACTTGAACATTGTTATCAGCTGCAAAACTAGCCCATTATGGAAAACCTTTTCCGAACTGTATATTGATGCTTCATAATCCTCATATCCAGACATCTAGTCATGGTCCCAATATGCTTGCACAGACTGTTTACCCTGTGATCTTGTACAGGGATAATGTAGATCTTTGGCAAGCAGCTCCTCTCTATTGGATCTGTATCATTTCTGATGCCTGAAAAAAATGATAGGAGATCTCTTTTTATGTGATCTTGGTATTTGTGGAGTGGGAAATTTCCTGGTAGACATTATCTAGGGCCATATTATATGTAACCACCATAAATGACTTGTCATCTGGTTGTAACTGCTCTGTAGGCTGTTCTTGACGTAAAATAAGTGTTAATTAGGTGCGCAAGGCATCCATGCTGTTTGTCTATACTTGACCATATAATTAAGCTCTTCTTCTCTATCCCTTGTTGATGAACAATACATTTTTGCCCACCTCATAAGGGCTCTAAAAGCATCGATCTTATAAGTGAAAAGATCATGTGATCTTGAGGGATGAAGAGTAAAGAATATGAGCTTTTTTGGAACAACTTTGTTAACAACTGCCCATGCTGTAAGATAATGTCCACATTGAGTAAGAAAGCCATGTTCAGTACATTTTCTAGTTTTAGGCCATTGACATTGAATATCTCCAGCCAGTATCGTAAGTAACTGAGTGTGGTTATATCTAAATTAATAGATCTGGAAGTGAAGATTGGACAAAGGTCCAAGTAGTATAACTGGAAGCACAACCACATGGTAAGCAGGAATTACGGGTTTGGGTCCTGCTTTCTTCTAGAATCTTATAAATTAATTATTAAAATATCAACCTTGTAAAATACCAATTAATACATGTGAATAGATCTTCTCCATAAATACTAAATAGAAAATTCTTCAGTGAAGCACATCCCCACAAATTGCCATATGAATTACTAAATATACCAAGTCTGTTTTTACATGATTTTGATTTTACAACGTCTGGAATAGAAATTCAATTCTCTTTTTACAAAATTTGTTTTAAGCTCACATGTTTCAATAAATTT